CTCTGTAAACCACTTAGAGAGGGCTGAAAGCCCTATGAAGCGGTATATAAGTCTAACTGCTATTGCTATTGCTACATATTCCATACTTTAAGTATTAGAAATACATTTCTTAGGCGATAGAAACAGCCCATAGTACAAATTTGAAAAAATAGATGTCATTAACTGTTAATGAAAGTTTGTTTTTTCTTAAAAAAAAAAACAAGACACTAAAAGGCCACCTGTGCCTCACTCTCTCAGGTACCTTTGGAGTTTTGCAGGATTCGATCGATGAGCCCAGGATATTTGGTGATGCGCTGAGTGACGAGGAGAATGCATTCTTGCATCCCATGCCGCCGAAGCACCGATGAGCGTGACAATTTCTAGAAACAATGAGGCAGGAGGATGATTATCCAGAATACCTCCACAAGATATGCAGCACACGCCTGTACACATCTCATCCACATATCTCATGCCAAATCTGAATCCCAAAGCTTCGGTCACTGCTATAAAATGAGGAAGTGCACAAGCCCTGAACTACGGGTAGCCTTTGAGTGGGACTGGAATTTCGGTCACTAAGAGAAGCTGTCGTGGCTGCCTCTCTGCTATTCAGGCTTCAGCCTGACATTAGCAACTGAGGAGGGCAAGATTGATCTGTAAGAAAGAAGATGGGGATGGAAGCCCAGCTGAGCCTTGTGAGAAGTTCCAGCTAGTGAAGGTCAACCATTGGTTATGCAGAGCTGGGAACAGAGAACCTGTTTACTAAATAACATACAAGAACCTGATTGGATATTTGCAGATAACCGGGAGGGTGGCCGGGAGGAAAGAGCAAAATTTACTTTGTGCTGTTTGCACGGGAAAACCTCAGATTCGGCTTTGCTACTTCTGCGACCATTTAAGCTTCCGTAAAGTCTATTCTTGGCAAAAACAAGCCTTTCTTTGTCAGGTGACTGAGTGGGACGGTTGACTCAGTAATCTCTGCAGACCCAATTGCTGTCATTAACGAAATGCCAGGGTTATAGGGGAGGTTGTTGGCTTCCCACAACCGAATCACTGGGAGAATCCCCAGGGGATTTGCAAGCAGGCTGGCAGGCAGGTAAAAATAGCTGCTGCCAGGTAGGAGAAGGCAAGGAGAGGATGCACAAGGGTTCCTCTGCTTTGTGACCCGCTTGAAGGCCACTGCAGAAACAGGCTGGGGATCAGGAAAGGGTGCGGGAGAAACAGGGGAAGGCCTTACCCGGATGAATTGCTGGAACCGCTTGTCCCGAGTGAAGAGCTCTTTGTAAAGCTTGACGGCTTTGGTGTGGTGGCTGCAGAACTCCGAATAAGCCTTCTTCATCTGCTCGGCAGCGGGGCCTGAAAACTGGAAGGCAGGATTGGCTTGGTGTAGTGCTAAAGGCACCAAACTAGAAACCAGGAGACAGTGAGTTCTAGTTCCGCCTCAGGCATGAAAGCCGGCTGGCTGATTTGGGGCCAATCACCAGGAGACGGTGAATTCTAGTTCACCTCAGGCATGAAAGCCGGCTGGGTGATTTGGGGCCAATCACCAGGAGACGGTGAATTCTAGTTCCGCCTCAGGCATGAAAACCGGCTAGATGATTTGGGGCCAATCACCAGGAGACAGTGAGTTCTAGTTCCGCCTCAGGCATGAAAGCCGGCTGGCTGATTTGGGGCCAATCACCAGGAGACGGTGAATTCTAGTTCCGCCTCAGGCATGAAAACCGGCTAGATGATTTGGGGCCAATCACCAGGAGACGGTGAATTCTAGTTCCGCCTCAGGCATGAA